CAACCATCCTCCTGTCTCAGCCTCCCGAGTGCTGGGATTACAGGTGTGCACCACCACACCCAGCTATTTTTCTTCTAAGGTTCTAAACATCCGCCTATTTCATCATTGGCTGTTCTGTTTTGTAGTATGGTTTGTAATAGTTAGGAAAATGCAACAATTCCACTTCTAGGGGACTTGTTAAACAAACTACTGTGACAGATTATATTTCCCAAAGGTAGCCCCAAGAATGTCTCCAGTTGGGATGCACTCCAAGAACTTGCAGCTGTACACCAACAGATAAAGATGCTGTATCACCCCACTCCCAGCTTCATTGGAACTGGGAAGACCTTTGTGGCCTCCTCATCAGTAAAGTCAACATGCTGTGACTTCTAAGATGATGTCACTATAGTGCTATGTAGGACCTCTGGAAAAATGATGGAGTAGTAAGCAACAGCATCACTGCCTCTCTGAGATTCAGAATCCAGACACTGGAAAATAACTTGGGGAAGAAACAAAACAAAACAGAGACATGTATCCCTAGAAACCAGAAAGGATCTGACAGTAACCCCAGCATTAGGGAGACTGAGGCAGGAGAATCACTGTGAGTTTTAGGCCAGCCTGTGCTACATAGTGAGTTCAAAGACAGCTTGAACTGCATAAAAAGATCCTGCCCCAAAAATAAAGACAAAAACAAAACCTAAAGAGACAAAACACAAGCCAGAAAAGGGAAGAGACCATGTGTACTTTCTCCCCAGTTCCGAGCTCATGACTTACAGGAAAAGGAGATCAAATCTACAGAGACAAAGTGAAAGCTGGAGACTCCAAAGGGCCTCAGGGAGACACATGGTGGCAGAACGGACTGGTGGGTGCTGCAATGTGCAGGGAGAGATGGGATTCAGCTCTTGTGTGAGTCCTTTGACAGATAACAGCTGGTGAGTGGCTCCAGCCCGAGAGCCCACCATATTCCTGGACAGACTTTGGTTAGATGCCATTCTAGGGAAAAGATGATTGTTTGAACTGAGGAGTCAAGCAGCTGCAGAATGGCTTCACTTCAGGGCTTCCAGTGTTACATTCTTACAGTGGCTGGGTTAGAGACAGTCATGGGAGACAGCTGTGGTCACGCTGGAGAGATCCCCTGAGGGAGTTGAGCTAAAGGACACAGGCCCCGCCCCCACGGCCAGAGGTCAGCCTGAGTTGCTCTGGGTTTGGAAGTCACAGCATTGTCACCCTCGCCCTAATCCTACTACCTGCTGGTGCCCGCATCCAGCACGGATCTGGGGTCTGACTGCTTTCTTTATCTACTCACATGAGCAGGGACACGTCATGACTTGGACACTGTTCCAAAAGTTGAGATCCTGGAAGAAAAATCGTACATTCAAAATCATAGAGAATTTTCTTCCTTTCTTCCTTCATTTCTTTCTTCCTTCATTTTTTCTTTCTTTCTTCCTTTTCTTTTCTTTCTTTCTCTTTCTGTGAGTATATGTGTTATTGTTGCTTATTCTTTATTTTCTTTTTTCTTCCTCTTCTTTACCAGTTTATTGGGGTTTGGTGAATTTTTCTTCATCCTTTTTCATTTGCTTCTTAGCCCCTTGTCTTATTTCTTTTTCCTCTCATTTCCTGTATTTTTTTCTTTCTTTTTTCTCCTTTTGAAATTTCTTCCTCTAATTTTTTTTTGCTGTTTTTCTTTTTTTTTTTTTAGTACCAAGAATTGAACTCAAGACCTTGTGGTTGCTTGGCAGGCATTGTGCCATTAACCTATATCCCCAGCCCCTGCTCTTTCATTTTTACTCCTCATATATTTTATTTTTTCTATCCCTGTTTTTCTTTTATTTTTATTAATTAA